AGTGTAACCTTAAAATACACCTCTGCTAATAAGTTCAGTATTTTTCTTACTTTGTCACAAAACAGTTTTTCTGACATCTTTAATAAAAAGCACTCACATGTCTTTCTACAACCACTTTTTCTCTCCTGATATGCTGATAGCAAATCTTACCTACCATCTGAAAAAAAAAGAATTGGGGTTATTTTCACGAGCTGAAGGACAAATAGGTTATCCCAGGCTCCTTTTACCAACAGCAGTAGGTCGGTTATAATCAGTTTCAGCTCACTGCTTCTCAAGACATAACACCTTCTCCCTTATTTGACTATATTGACACTAAAATTTGCCGCTGCTCATGACACATAGGTCATTAGTCTTCCTTTTTGGTCAAGGACCGAAGGTCAATACCTTTAGCAAAAGCATTTATGGACAACTTCACAACTTTAAACTTTTATCTCTTAGTCACGGGTTTCTCTTCATTAACTGCAATAATCGGCCAATATTTTCCCACCAGGATTCGCTTGACTTCCATGTACGTGTCACTTGGCTAGATAAATTACACATTTTTTTTGAGACAGTTTGCCATTTCAAGCAATCTTTGCAACCCTTCTTTGCAGCATCGGACACACTGCCTGCTCATCTTGCTGCATTAACTTCCCTCCCAGGTGGGCCATTTTTTGTTACTTCTACAATGATACTAGTAGAGGTTTATAGCTACATTTTTCCAAAGCTCCTTGCAGCACTGTTTGTTTCCTCTGATCTAAGTGTATTTTCTTCCTCCTCTTATTCCCCTGCCCCACCATCCACCCCCAAGTAATTTCCTGGGGTGCTAGAACAACTTGAAAAAGCACAAAGGAAAAGTGCTTTCATATGAAATTGTGAATGAAGAAAAATGTATATATACATATTTTTTTTCAATAAAGGCAACTTACAGCCCTATTATCAAACAGAAAAAAAAAATCCACCCTCAAAGTTGGTGGAAAGTATTTCCTTTTCACAAATTTAGAAAGTACACTAAGTATTTAATTTTTTTTTTTTTTTTTTTTTTTGGTCCTCTAATTATATCATTTTTCTCTTTCTCCGCTGTTTCCCAGAGTGGTGAGCATGCTGGAGCTTTCCCAGGAGCATGAGTCAGACAGTTGGTGTCTTAACCCTACATCACAGCTCTAGATATCCCTGCACAGAGCTGAATGAGCCACACTCTCTGAAAGATCAGGGGTCCTCATTTGTGTCCAATGAGCGGGTCCTTTGGCTCAGACCAAAGCTTTGGTACACTTTAAGCCAGAAAACGGGTACTTATCCTATTCCAAGTTATCTTTTTCAATTAGTTGTTTGCCTGCTGTTAGCTGACACACTCCCTTACTAGTTATAAAATCACCATCGAGCACTTTGAGCTTCATGATTTGCTTTCTCCATAGCTGCTCTCTCAGACCTATTGTCACTATTCCTGTTAATCCACTGCCTTTTGCATCTGTCTCAAATTAAAAATTAAGGAAGCATTTACATGCTTTATTCCCATTCACCATCTACTGCTCTAAAACGAGTCCCTCGAGTTTGCAGCACCCTTGTGAGCAGGCAGCTCCAAGAACACGTGCATGCTGCATATTCATGCAAAGTGATAAATTCACTGCTGGTTCTTGCTTGAACTTTGTTCGAAATGACAAACATCATCTCTGCCCAGCATGTGTGCATCCCCCGATTGTGTGAGCCTTCCTCTTTTTCCTTTACCAAATCCTTCACTGTCCATCTCCTGTACAAGCCAGGTGAAGCCAGGAGCCCTTGTCATGGCAGAGATAAGGCCAAGTGTCCAAGTACTCAGAACTTTCCTCAAATTTTAGTGATGGTGTGGTCTCTCCCCAGAGTGAAAGACGGTGTTTCACCCATAAACCAATTAGAAATTTCCTTGTTTTCTATAACAGTGTATTGCTTAAGGGATTAATTTTTATGTGGAATACAGCTCTGCAAATTACTGTAGTATAAAGATTAATTCAATCTATCCAAGTTAAACAGACATATGTAAAACCACAAAGTATTCAGATCTAGCTCTGGTCAGAAAGGAGGCTATTTTCAGACTGATATTCATGTCTTTGCTTTCTTGCACATACTGAATTACAAGCTATTAAAACCTTCCTTTCACAGCTCCAAAGGACTGAAGCATAGCTTCTGAATCTTACTCTCTTCTTCTGCTAATTGTTTCCTTAGTTAACTCTGCTCCTAGTATCACACACTGCCCAGTTATCACTCACCACTCTGGGAGGTCTGGCCCCGCTACACAGCCTTATATATATGTGAACCTTTGTGAAAGGCAACCAGAGATCCCCACTGTCTCACACCAGAGCCCTGCAAAAGTCCAAGATCCTCTGCATTTAGGGAACCCCAGAAGTTCAAATATGTGTAAAGCTCCTAGCAGAAGAAAATGATAGAAGAACAGAGAAAAAGGGAAAGATTAAAAGAAAACAACAGCAAAAAGAAGAGAAGAAAGGGACAGAGAGCTGAAAGCATGGGGAAGATGGGAAAAAAAAACCCAGAAGAGAAGGGCAAAATGGTAAAGACGAGGAGACACAAGAAAACATGGAGTAGACACCTTTAAATCCCAACATTCTGCAAAGTTTTTACTTGATTAGCAGATCCTTGTAAGAAAGAATGGGATTGGAAAGAATGCTTGCACTACAGAAAAGCTAAAAAAGAAGTTAATTATCTGTTGTTGTCTGGGATTTTCAAAGTTTCTTTTAATGAAAAGCACACAGTGTAAGTTCACAGTTTCAGTTAAACATGTAAACAGTGGCTATTTCTAATTACTGGTATTTGCAAAAATGTAGGAAAACACTGCAATCCCCCTATAGTCATTCTCATAAATGAATCACCGATAATGCCCCTGACTATGTAATTAACATCGTGCTCATTCTAAAAACCTGCAAAAAATCATCATGCCAATGAGGCTACTTCTGACCACAGGTGAAATACGTGAGGCACAGACTCAGACTCATGTATCTTCCTGCTGCTCTCAGGTTCTCAGTCTGAGTCCTGCTTTAGGCTGCAAATTGTGTTTTAAAACAGTTTGAAAGATACTTGATCACTTGGACATGGGACCAACCTAGAAATGTGCACAAAGGCAGTCAACTACAGAACTCTATGACCATTGCTGAGAGAGCAATCCTCTGCGATGGCTGAAAGCCTTCCTTACTGCACATTTCTTCGATGCTCTGCATTTTGAAATACTTGACAAAATGGATGTAGACTTTCAAGTTAATTGGTAACGCACCACTGAAAATCTGCATTTCATTTCCAACAGTACCACTGGGTAGACCTCACGAGAGGCAATTTTGAGGTCACAAGCATTATTACGACCAGTGCGTCTAAATATCACTACCTTTTATAATGTATTAATCCCTCCTTGAAAACAACGTCTGCTTGAAATAGTTCACCTTCACAACTTCTGTTCACTGGGTGAGGCTGCTTCTACGCTGTAGTACCTCTGGCACCAAAGCTCAGCTTAAACGAGTTCGCTGATAGCAAACTGGCATGCTAGCTCGAGACCAAAACCTGCCTTGTGTGCATCACTTCCCAAGAATAATCCACAACAAAAACGGGAGCCAAAACATACGCTCCTGACTCTCCTCTTGGTAAGCACCTCTACAGTGACCAGCCACCATGTCTGCACATCTAACTAGATAATGGCTCTCAGAAACCTCTCTTGAAAACTCAGATAGAAAAAGAAATTCATTTTCCATGGACATAACAATATTACTACTACTTTTTTTTTAACCTCAAGAAAAATAGCAACCACTGATATATATGTATGCTGTAAACACAGACACAGAAATAATTCATCGCGAGTTATATTTATAATTAACTTTCAAAAAAAGTAGTGCTAAAATTTAAATTGCATGAAATATTCTAATTCTGTACTTGGCAATAAATCTTCATGGGATGCACCTATAGTTCTCTAAAGCTCCTCATATTCTACCTATTTAATAAGCTTTTCTCTCTATTGCAACAGTAACCTTATTCCTCTTCTATTTCTTGTAAAACTGAAAACACATGGGAAAAAAAGTGCTACCAGATTCTATCCTTGATTTGTATACATATATAAAGCTATACGCTCTCCTCTATTTTACAGGCAAACACACTACCTTTCTCAATTTAATTTTCTTATGTATCTACACTATTACATTAGTCCAATTATTCTTTTTTTGTTACCACTGGAAGTATCTATTTTCATTTTGTTCTTATCAATATTTTAATGACATATAAATATAAGAAAATAAAATGAAAATATCTCTTTACTACCACATATTATTAAAAACATCTATTTTATACTCTTTCCTATCAAAATTCATAGCCTAACCACTGAATGTCACCATTAACATCTACATCTAGTCTTTATTTCTTCCCAACTAACACAAGTTCAACTGTCTTGTCAATGAAGCTTCACCAAGAGCATTTTGAAGAGGTATCATAAATTATCTCAAGTTGGAAGGGACCCCCATAAGGATCATCAAGTCCAACCCCCAAGTTGTCAAAATAACGCTTTACTCTGATGTGTGGCTTAGCAGATACTACATACTGTAAGCTGCAACATAAATTATTGCTCGAATTATTTGCTGAAGAGCTTTTAAATCTTGATTAGAGTCTTTAAGCACTGAACTCAATATTTAAATATAAATGTGCAGAATTAAAGTAGTTTTCAAATACTATACCTAATACTGTGAAGAGGCCTTCACGTAACAACACCATGTGTTTCTTCTCATCTGTGTTAGCGTATTTTTGGAATGACTGGGAAGCCACCCTGCTTTTTCTTGCAAAATAGACATTGAGTTTGACTTGCACTACATGGATAGTTTGGGCTATATATGCAGGGTGACTGCTATAATATTTTAAAGGTACTGGTTTAGGGCTAATTAATACGTTAATAGAAGAGAACTTCCATCCTTCAGGACACATACTGTAAAATACATGATAATTTCCTTCCACCTGTCTAGACTGGACTTGGATGTAATTTCCGTAACAGCATTTAGGCATACCATCTTCGTCTGTCTGGATAATGGTCTCCTCGCTCTCCTTCCTCCCTTCCGGGTTCGTTAAGATCATTTTGAGGCTCACATTCAAAAATCCACAACGTGCTGGGGTGCTTTGGGGTCCATGTCCAAGCAGTCCGCCTTGCTTTCGTTATGCCCGCAGAAGTAGTGGTAGCATATAGTGACATTGAAAGTGTGGCAACGAGTGATGTTGTAACCCAGAGATTCCCAATCCACAGCGATGTGTCTGGCCTGGATCTCAGCAATCTTCAACGTTTTTGGTGTTCTCATAGGTTCTAGGAAACAGAATGTAATGAAAAAAACCATCATTAGCATTCTTCATCCTTGCACTGAACTGTAACTGGTAAATGATGCCCCCAGGAATGTGAAAGCAAAGGAGATACCATACAAACACAGACTTATTACTGGAAGGCGTGTCATCCTTTATACAAGTAGCCTGAAGGGAAAAAACAACTGTCAGTCTCTGTTTTTTTACTTCATTCTTCTCCTGCCTCTCCTTACAAGTTTCAGTGATTAAGACTTGGTAACAGTAAGAAAAAAGAACTGTTAATTAACAGAGCAACGATTATAAGCAATTGAGAATACAAGGAGCAGATGCAAGAAGAGTGACCAAAAGGCCACCCAGCTGTCACTGCTGGCTTCCCTTCTTGATTTCCCCCCTTTTTTTTTACCTGCGTAAATTAGATAATACATCATAGTGATAAAGAGTCAACATTCACTGCTCTATGATTTATCATGCCACCAAGCAATGCTTTATACTAATTACACTAATTACCTTACTAAGATAGCAGTTACAAAAATGACGCAGATATTAATTAATGTTTATTATTTCAGTAATGAAGCTATTCATTCAAGCAAAACCCCCTCGAAAATATTACCAAAAAAAGCTTTTGGATATTCACATTGCAACCTGCTTCTTTCAGATCCCCAAAACTTTGCCTGGACATTGCTCTGAGCGGGTCATCTCTGACCTACCCAAGCTCAGCTGCTCTCCACACACGCATTTCCACCAGCAGAGTACACGATGCTCCCCAAGCTGTCATCAATCTTCCATTGTCTCTCTGGTGCATTCATTCCTCATGCAAGACTAACTTTTATCGTTGAACTTAATTAAAATGATTACACAATGAAAATCATGACCATGACTATATATACTAGAGTTTCACTGGAAATATACCAAGGGGATCTTTATACCCTGCTAATACATCCTTCTTCACCAGAGAAAATAAAACCTGCTCTAAGCACAGCTTCAGTCTCGTGTCCTTGCAGGTGTAAGGTCAAAACAGTTGAGATTATTCAAGGAAGTGAAATATAGGATTTCTCTGTCTGGGCCTAACAGTTCTTTGTAACTTGCATTTATGAAATGAGAGTCCCAATCAGGCTAACAACCAGCCAAAAGCACAGATGGCATATTGAAATAAGGAAATGTGAATCAGTGTAATCTATTCAGCATGCAGTTTGCCAGACAAACTGCAAACATTTAGTTTTAAACATCAAAACAACCGAAGTCTAAATATAACATAAAGGTATTCCTAGTAACATGATAAAAATTGTGCCTACTTCATGGTCTACCTTTCCCTTTCTGGATTTTGAACAAGCACGTTCCCCTTGCCCATAAGTATTAATTTATCATATATATGGCAAAAAATACAAATGAGTAAGTAGGCTTCCTGGGCAGTAGGTTCTGAACATGCTGTATACTGTGACAATAGAGATCTGAAGCTAGAAGACAGCATTGAAAAGGTTCCTGAGAGATAAGAGACTTGAAGAGAAGGAGAGGGAAAAGGAAAAAAAAAGTTGTGTTGTTTGGTGTGGGTTTTTTTAGGTGTATGGTTGTGGTTTTTTGTGGGTGGGTTTCCCCTCCCCCTCCCCCCAAGTAAACAATGGCTGGTGCTTTAGCAAGTACAGACAGGCACGATCCAGTCATTAAAAATGTAAATCTATACAGCAGATCAACTGAAGGAGTTGGTTAGAGTCTTCAATGAATCAGTATTTCCTTGGCTTTGGCTACTGCAAGCACTTAGAAAAAACCTGAACACACTCAGGTGTCACAGATGAAGAGAACTGCTAAAAAAGAAAATAATACATATTATCAGCCTATTACTCATATGACTGACAATGAAAAACCCAGCCATACATGCTCTGATTTAGAATCTGAGGTCTAAAAGAGTAAACATATCCTTCACCAAGGAAGTTTCGTATTATAGGGTCATTTCTCCTTTTAAAATTGACTGATTCTTCTCACTTTAATAAATTCCTATTTTTTCTACTAATCCAGGCTGTTCCTTTAACAACCCACACCAGAGATGAAACTCAAACCTGAATTTAAAATTTATTGGACCCTCTAAAATAAACACAACGTAATACACGTTGCCTGGCCACGAAGGTTGAAACTAGTGGTGTTTGAAGCCGACTGCTCAGTAGCAGAAAACGCACTCAATTTTCATCACACTTCTTTCATGACGAGACTTAAACTGTGTTCACACTAGGCTGGATGGCTCGTTCAAAACCAAAGGGAAAAAAAAAAACCCTTTGTTAATCCTAAAGAAAAATTATTTTACAATTCTATGCAAATTTTACAAACGTGTCACAGTATCAGAGGAAATACTGAAAAGCATCCTTTATTCACCTGTCAAAATGGAAAGAATGAAAGACAGAGTGTGATCTCGCTTTCTCACAACTATTCCCTTCTTTGGCAGAAATTAAACAACTGCTGCAATATTGAGATGGTAATTAAAGTCTGCAGAGTCTCTCAACAGCTTTGGTAAAGTCTGCCAACTGTCCCACTGCTCCTAAAATGATGCTTTAAAAACACAATTTTGCTCTCGCTTCTGGGCAACGTTCATCTCAGGGATCTCTAGAGGTAAAGACCAATTGTTTTAAACTACCACACCACAAAGCCTCCATCTGTAACATCTCAGTAGAAAGCAATCTTCGAATAATTATTTTCTTCAGATAAAACACTACTGAATTTTTGAGTAGGCTTCCCAAAAATCTCAGCGTCTCCTTAAGAATAACTTTGTTCTCAATGAGGACAAAAAGAAGTGTTTATCTGCCGTTTTTCCCTTTCCCCATCCCACTTTAGGATTCACAATCTTTTTTAAATTTTAAACGTTTCCTTAATCCTACTGGGATTTAATTTCAATTTATGCATTCTCTTCTGATCTCTGGATAATTTTCCATTTCTGCTCATCTCAGTAAAACGATTTATATCTCATCTTCACAGTTGTTTTTTCACCTTTACTCTTTCAGTCACATCGAGAACTTTTATCCAAAATACATGGCCATTCAAGCCCATGACTTCTCACTTCTTTGTGAGTTACTCATGTCAAACCTGGACCCTATGTCGAAGTGGGAAGAAATAAGACTTTTTCAAAATCTGTTCAATTCTTGACGTATCAGGTGGAGTTTCAATAGTGATAGCAGGAAGCACTTAATATTTCCCAAACATTAATCTACCAATTACCCCTGCGAGACAGGTAAATGGTGTTAATCCTCTTCTGCAAGGAGAAAGAGACACAAAAAGGTTAATAGCTTGTTCAAAGCTACAAGGTGATTTACAGCCAGGGCCATAAGTAAAGTGAACGGTACCCTGCTCCCAGGTCACTGGCAAGCAGCAGCAATTCAGAGAGCTCATTTACAGTTTATTTGTCAGTGCTTCCACAGAAATGCTAAGTCCACTAAAAAAGAGTTTTTGCAGATTTTCTTAGAACAAGCTTGAAAAATTGTAACAGGGCCCAGACACTAAGTGAATATCTGAACATAAGGAAAAGTTATTTGAAAAACACTCACTTGGTTTATTCATTTTGAAAGATTTCTTGATTGAGAGCCTGGAATATGAGTGAAACAGCATATTTTTTGCATTGAAACTCATATTTAAAATTAAAATTTTGAGGAGGCAGTATTCATAATTTATTTTTTCAAGCCCTTATCTCCAGCCAAAAATATATTTAAGACTGGAGGAAGTTCCTCATGGGGACAGCAGAAAGTCCTCGGGGTTTCTGCTGTTGCAGGAAATTCTATATCCTGTGACTGTATCCAGCACTTAAACGTGAACATCCTGACTGGCAGTCATGTCTTCCAATGGAAATATGGGAACAAGGCATATGAAAGAGCGGGGGGTGGGGGTGGGGGTGGTAGAGTTGGCGTTTAGATACTCCTGAGCCCCTCTGCTGTGGGCAGGCTCCCTCCAGCCAGACCCTTCCTGCCCATGGGCTGCTGCTACGACCTCCACCCCATTCCCAGTTCTGCTCACAGCCAGCTTCTCTCTCTGCCCTTTGCTCTCAATGCCTGGCAATATCCAGCTCAGCTCTCTTCCTATTCCTGCTCACCCTCCCTTTATCTCTACGGCAAACAAACACTACCAAGCACCTGCTGACTCAGATCCACCACCCGATCTGACTGTTTGTATTCTCACTGAACCAATTAAAACCAGAGGCATTGGGAGAATATCAAAAGAACAGAAAAAAACAGATTAATAGGAGAGATGTCTACACTCACAAAGTTTACTAAGCCCTCATTCCTTATCCAGAAACTGCAATGTAAGTGTAAGAATTACATGCATGTGGCACTCACTTGCAACAACTTATGGATCAAGAAGATTGAACCCAGCTTTATGGGATAAAATGAAGACCAGCTTTAGTAATTTGCCAAAGGTTAATAATCCAGGTGTAGATGGCAAGAGACAGAACCCTCTTGACCCCATACCACCTCTCAACTGCAGGATGATTTAATAAGACACTCCAGATAGCAGATAAAATGAAATTCAATTTCTTTAGTGCTTGATAAGCAACACGTGATACGACAGGTCAATATCGGAGCCTCTGTGTAGAGATTATTTTCATGTACGCAGAGATGGCAGTGAAAACAAAAGCCTTCACAGTTGCAGAAGAAACAAGGTGAGAGCATATATTTCCTCAGAACCTATTTTCAATGCTAATACGTATTACCCTGCTGTCAGTCAAACAGATGTCCTGAAGTTGTGACAATAATCCCACAAAACAAAGCTAGTAAAGCACAGCAAGTCCTTCCCTTTTGATGCCCTTCCTCAAAAATCCTGAATGTTGATGGCAAGACACAGTTTCATTTCCATTTACCTGGCAGGGGAGGGGGGATTAGATCTTTTGATCAGCAGACAGAACACACATTTGTTTGCATGAAATGGAAAACAATCAGACAATTTTTAAAGCACAAACATTTCAGATAAAGAAGGTGCTTCTCCAACACCATATACTGTCTGTATACTGCCTGTGCATACAATTCTTCCATTGGGGTT